CCGGGTTGCCCCTCGACCTCGAGCCTCGGCGACGTGCAGGATTTCCTTGGTGACCTGGGCCTGGTAGTCGCTCGCTTCGAACTTGTCCCAGATCTCCTTGCGCATGGCGTCGTAGCCGCCCTTCTTCTTGAAGCTGTGGGCGAGCGACTCTATGGCTGCGCGCGTCGCCGACGGCAGGGGCAGGTCGGCGGCTTTGAAGTTGCGGGCGGGTGCTGGAGGTTGCTGTTGCTGCTGCTGCTGCTGCTGCTGCTGCTGCTGCTGCTGCTGCTGCTGCTGCTGCTGAAGGTGGGTGTCGGTGGCAGCAGCAGCAGCAGCAGGAGGAGGAGGAGCGGCTGAGGCTGCTGGAGCTGGAGCTGAAGCTGGTGTGTCGGTCGCCATTGGAAGGGCCAGGCTGGTGGTGGTGGTGGCCGCAGCCGCAGCCGTGGTGGCCATTGGACGCAGTTGGCCTACAGTCAGGCGTGATGGTCGCCTCTTTTTCAGTCAGTCTCGTGGTTTGTTGGCATGATGAGACAGCTCCGTCACTGCACCGGGCCGGGGATCGAGCTAGGTTCGTTGGTGATGGGATTCAAGTCGGCGTTGATGGATGTGAATGGGGCAAACGCGTGATCGCCGTCTCGTACACGTGCAGTAGCTGTAGGCAGCCAGGGTCGGAGGTTCAGGGGATAGACAGAGAGAGAGAGAGAGAGAGAGAGACTTTGACGTGATCCATGCGTTGCTGATAGCAGCTCACCGGCGGTCTTATCAGCGGTGGGCCGGCGTGTTCGGTGAGCTCAGGGCAGACATGTACCGCAGGAAAGAGCCACTGGGAAGAGCCACGGGGAAGAGCCACTGGAATTCAGCTGCCATGGGGAGAGCTTCTTGTTGCTCAGAGTCAAACAAAGTCTTCATTCTGCGATATCTTCCTCTCTGTCCGGCTACAACAATGGATCAGGCTCCTGGCGGTATGAGGGCATTTTCTCCGAATTGAAAGCAGTCTACAGCACAATAGCTAAGCAGCTAAGAGAGGTTTCCGCATCATCACCACAGACAAGATCGCACCACGACGCCATCTGCCTTGCGCCTTGTCGAACACCACTACGCAAAGCCGTCTCGGACCTATGAAACAAATTCTTCCCCGCTGCTTGTCGAGCTCCAAGCATCGGACTGGAAGCGTAAGCTACCTACACGTTTGGTTCCAACCTCTGATCCCGTTCGTCCCAGATCGACAGCCGTTGCGCAACCAGTGTGCCAGTCTCGCCGATCGCGACGCCAGAGTTCCAACAGAAACCTCGCCAAAGCTCTCAATCGGCACACGGCGTCAGTCCCTCGCAATGGCAGTCCCTCACGGCATCAGTCCACCACAGCGTAACAAAAAAATTGTTGCAGTCACATTGAAGACTGGAGACGCGTCTTGCAAACCAGTCCCGCCCGTCTCCCAAACCATAGGCGTTCAGCCTCTCCGCCAGAATGGCAAGGCCCGCGTTCGAGTTTGCCAGTATAGTTCGGACGATTCTCTCTGTGACAAGCACCATGTCAATCCATTGCTGCTCCGCTTCCACTGACCAGACCCAGCGATGTAACACTGCAGTCAGCCTTTCCCGCTCCCGCCCCTGAGAACCTCCCACACACCAGAGGACTTGGGTCTGGCAAGTCAACCAACACCTTCCAGCTTGAACTCAATTAACCTGAACGTCGCCTCACGCGGTCCCCCCATCCATGCCCATTCAGGCACACCCAACATGCATCTACATTTTGACAGCTGGCGCTACGGCGACGGTGGGCTAGGCATGGGTCTTTGGGGGCCCAGCTGGCCTCCCCCATCATGAGACGAAACCCCCCTCCTTGGCTCAGACCTCGCACGTTTCAGCCCGGGCAACCGGCCTCACAATGGCCCTCGCTGCCCACAGCCTCACGCGCGTCTTCAACGACCCGTTCTATGGTGACACACACTGCGGTTTTTCGTCTCGACTCGCTCGTGAACGCTCCGACCCCTCGCCGCCTGCCGGTAGCGAGTCCTACCGATGCAACATCAGACGTCAAGCGACTGGGCCGGTCTGGGGCCTTGGAGCGTCCCAGTCCGTCCATCTCGTCTGTTTCTTTTCCTTTCCTCTTCCATCACTCTCTTGGTCGTGTGGTTGCTTCTGGTGAAGTGCCTTCTCTCCTTTTTTCTCTTTTCCCTCTTCGCTTTTTTCACGTCATCGTCAACAGAGTCGTTGGCGCGCCCAGACTGAACAGAACATCCAAGCCTTCTCAGTCTTTCCATTCATTTACTCCTGGACGAGTTCCTTTTCTCTTCTCTATTCGGTTCCGTTTGCTGTACTCGATAGTAGTTCTTCCCGGACAGAGTCCTCGCTTTCTTCATTCTCATACCAAGCTTAATTCTGTTGCTTATCAAGTGAATCTCTCGACTTGCACACTACGCTTCAGTTCTCGTCAAGGCAATACGCATGCAACAAGACCACATGTCCGGCTTCCATGGAATCATAGATCGTATAGACTCCTGAACGCCAGACAGCAAACAAGCTGCTGCTTCTCGGCGGCTCGACGAAACGACGGCTTCATAATACCGTCCACGGCACGAGACGTGGCGACCAGGACACACCATCAAGCCCAGCTGGACCGGCTTTATTTTTCTTCTTCTCCGACTATTCTCTCACACGTTCACCACACCCTCGTTCATCATGAGATTACTGTCGACACTGAGTGCAGCGTGCCTCATGGGCAACGCAGCCCACGCCATCCAATTGGACGTGGACAGCGAACAATCGGTCAAGGACGCAGCGAGCACCATCGCCTTTGGTCTCGTGAGCTTCTACACAGGCAACAACACGGGCGATGTGCCCGGCAACCTCCCAGATCCCTATTTCTGTATGTAGCTTGATAAAAAAATGTGACTATGGATACTGATCAGCACACAGGGTGGACCGCGGGCGCCATGTTCGGCACGCTTGTCGATTATTGGTTCCTCACGGGCGACGACACGTACAACGCGATCACGACACAGGCCATGGTGCACCAGGCCGGCGACGAGGCCGACTTTATGCCCCTCAACCAGACACGCACCCTCGGCAACGACGACCAGGGCTTCTGGACGCTCTCCGCCATGATGGCCACCGAGGCCGGGTACCCGGACCCGCCCGCAGACCAGCCGCAGTGGCTGGCTCTCGTGCAGGCTTGCTTCAACCAGTGGGCGCAGCGTTGGATCGAGGCGTCCGACTCGTGCGGCGGCGGGCTGCGGTGGCAGATCTTCTCGTTCAACAACGGCTTCAACTACAAAAACTCCATCTCCAACGGCTGCTTCTTCAACATCGCCGCGCGGCTGGCGCGGTACACGGGCAATCAGACGTACGCAGAGTGGGCGGAGCGCGTGTGGGACTGGGAGGTCAAGGCAGGGCTCATCACGGACGACTTCAAGGTGTACGACGGTGTCACTGTCGTCGAGAACAGCCCCGACTGCCCCAAGATTGACCAGAACCAGTGGTCCTACAACGCCGGCATTTACCTGCACGGGGCCGCCGTCATGCACAACGTGACGGGGGACGACAAGTGGCGCGCGCGCACGGTGGGACTCCTCGACGAGACGGAGAAGACATTCTTCCAGAACGGCGTCATGTTCGAGCAGCGGTGCGAGCCGTTCAAACAGTGCAACATTGATCAGAGCAGCTTCAAGGGCTACCTCGCGCGGTGGATGGCGGGCACGGCGCAGGTCGTGCCGGACCTCTTTGACCGCATCATGGGCCTGCTGCGGCCCACGCGCAGAGCGCGGCGTCGGTCTGCGTCGG